AAGTAGTAACTATCTTACTAGTCACTATTTATTAGTCCAAACTATAGAATGCGATCATGTGTACATGGACGGTACATTCTCGGTGGTGCCAGTCATTTTCAAACAACTCTATACGATCCACGGTAGAATTTTTTTTTATTCAAAAATTAATCATATTTTCATGTGGGTGACTTTAATTCCTTTAGGTCGGTACAAAGGCCATCACGTGCCGCTTGTTTACGTTTTGACATCCGACAAAAAAGAAGAAACATACAACGCGATCCTCCGCGCTTTGTTGGACATTGAGCCGAAAATCAACCCGACTGATTTTATGACAGATTTTGAAAAGGGGGCCATGAATGCGGTGCAGCGAAACTTCCCAATGGCTGAAGTTCACGGTTGCTTCTTCCATTTCACACAGAACATCTGGCGGCACATACAGTTGGTTGGACTGCAAACTGTTTACAACGACAATGCAGATTTTGCTTTCCAGTTCCGATTGATAATCGCTCTCGCATTTTTACCAACCGACTGTGTATCTGATGCGTACGATGAACTGATCACCACGGAATTCTTCAATGGTCCAAACGTACACAAAGACGCAATTGAAGAACTGCTGACATACTTCCAAAGTACATACGTTTATGACTTTGATCGTTTTGGAAAGAAGAAACCACCGCTCTTCCCTCCGGCTTTATGGAACGTCTATGGGTTAATACTTTCAGGCGAGCTATTTATTTCTTTCATGAGAGCATCCTCTATTCAATTAAGCAAACAATTTAGTTTTAGAAGATTTCACGAAATGATGATTATCTTTCTTTATTCGTTTTAATTTCTATAGGTTTCCCCCGGACAAATAACCACTGCGAAGGTTGGCACAACCGCATCGCCGCGATGTGGGGTACTCATCCAAGCATTTTTACCTTCATCAATGGTATGAAACAAGAACAGGATATGCAAGAGCTCGAAATGGCACGAATCGAAGCAGGCAATGAGGCGGCTGCACGTCGGAAAACTTATGTTCAAAGTGACAAGCGAATCATTGAACTGGTGAAGCAATTTGATGCTGACATACACGACGGGTCATACCTTCCTTACCTCAAATCGATCGCTCACAACGCCCGGTTCTGAAAATTCATTTTTTTAGCGCAAAAATCATCGGTTTAAACAAAAAACGACAAATCATTCATGAATTTTGCATACAATTTGAAATGATTCGCAAAGTCGAAGTCAACGATTTAAATTGTTGATGATTTCCTATTTTTGTGTGATGTGTTTTATAAAAATAGTCTGAAAAAATACTTATTGCTTGAAAAAACACAAGAAAAAAAACAAACATAAGAAAGATTTGTTGTTTGTTAAATGGAACAAATCAGTTTTTTTGAAATTTTCAATCGCTTTTCAAACTAGAAAAAATTATAGCAAACAATACTTAGACTAGCTTGGAGTTTACTCAAACCACAGAAAGAAAAACGAACAATTTCCAAATCGAATAATATATAATATCATGAATTTGGTTCGAAAAAATTCCTTTCCATCGTTCAGATTTTTTTAAACTTGAATTCATATGTACACGAAATCGAGTCGAGTTACAGAGTAGTTTAATCACAAAAAGTGCACAATAAAACCATGTGGTCTTTTTAAATATACAGCTGAATTTGAATTGAAGCAATTTCAATTTCATTCGAGTCTAAAATCGGAACAAAATATACATGTATACTATTTCATATAAACGAAAGCACCACACAAAGAATAGAATTCTTTTTCATTTTATGTTTATTCTTAAAACTCGTTTGATTATTTAATACAATGAGACAATTTGATAAAAAAATCAAAATCGGATACATTCAACACTTTTTGATCATTTTTCATTGTGAATAAATGGAAAAAATCAGAATTGTCGCTGTTTTTTATTACGAAGAAGAAGAAGTAGAGTATGGTTTTTTTATTCTGCGTGTCTGCTGTGAGTATTTGAGCGCAAATTGAACGGACAGTGGTAAACTCATTTTCATTTGAAAATTTGTGAAATGTTTGTCATTCGATGCATTGCGCTTCTCACTCAGTGCGATTCTTAAGGCCTGCTTATAATTTTCCATTCAAAATCGATAGCAATTTCTATTCACTGGCTGTATTTACTTGAATCATTTTTCGCACGCCTATACATATTTTGACCTTTTTCTCCGAAATTGCACAGCAATTAAATGGTTTTGAGGCACTGATCGGCACATTTTTGTGAGCGAAAAGATAAACATGTGCATGTAGTAAGTGTTCATCGCACTTGCCCGCTATATTCACACGCTTGAAAATGTGTAAAAATCAATGTAACCATTTGACGAGGTGAACTCAATCAGTTTCGTATTCAAACTGTGCAACTGTAAATGCGATTTATGCTTGGGCACGCTACGGTTTATTTTGACAGTTTCCATAAAACATGTACATAAATGGCACTGAAGCGCCAACTGGTGCTAGCAGCTGTACTACACACACTGAATGGAAACTTTTTCACTCTTGTGTTGACGAATTTGACATTGATTTTGACATTATGTGTGAATGTACAGGTGCTAGCACTAGTTGGCGACAGCGATGCGAAGCCGTAGCGTTGTTTATGCCCCGGCCGCCATCATTTGTTGGTCTTCGGGAATTTTATTTTGGGAATTTTGTCTTCGGGAATTTTATTTTGGGAATTTTGTCTTC